CCTCTCCCCCCTGCCTGTCCCTCTTCACGGTGCCTTCTCACAAGGCCCTATTAAAACAAGAGGTCCAACGCTTCCTCTCCATGGGGGCAGAAGAGGGTACTGGATGAGTTCAGGGGCAGAGGCTTCTATTCCCACTACTTTCTCACACAAAAAAAGGACAGACAGTTGGAGACCCATTCTCGACCTCCATAGACTCAATTGATATCTTTGCAAACACCGGTTCAAAACGGTGACTTTGGCTTCTATTATCCCTGCACTAGATGGGAGGGACTGATTTGCAGCCCTCAACCTACAAGATGCCTATTTCCACATCACAATCCACCCTGCTCACAGACGTTTCCTAAGATACACGGTAGCTACAGAACATTTCCAATATCTTGTCCTACTCTTCAGCCTGTCTTCTGCACCCAGAGTATTTTCCAAACTGCTTGCTGTCATTGCAGATTACTTATGGAGCAAGGGAATTAACATATTCCCGTACCTCAATGACTGCCTAATAAAAGGCTCTTCCTTCCCAGAAACTTTTGAATCCATGAATGCAACATGGAAAATATTAAAATCCCTGGGCCTCATCATCAGTGTGGAAGAAAACATTGTCCTCGCTGTGTTTGTAAGCAACAAGTAGCCAGAGGCAGTTTTATTATGAGCTGCAGCAAGGGAAAAACTGGTTTGGACTGGGCGGGAGTTCCCCCCCCCTCCCAGGCAGATCTTTGAATACAAGCAATTATGAAGCAGTTTATATACTGTCCATTAGATATAACAACAATAACAATTAGTCTCCTTCCCATTACAAACACCAATGGCTAACAGTTATTTAGTTCCACACAGATGCTCCTTATCTCAAGGTCCCTGCCAGAGTCAGCGTTCTATCCTTATCTCCGTATGGAGGCGAGAGGTGAAGGCAGCGTCTAATTACAGATCTCGTGTTGTCAGGCCAGACTTAGCCTGACTCTTGCTCTCTTATTAACAAGACCAAGATGGCTTCACACAAATTCCCTTGTTCCCTTTTCCTGCCTTCACAGCAGTGATCAAAAATCTCCTCTATGTCCTGCTCAGTCCTTGAAATGTACAGGTGCCTGCTTAGACTGTACCTCAGCACGGTGATACCCACTATTGCAGAGGTTCCAGGTAATACCAGACCTCATAGCAATGGTCACCATGAGCCTATAGTACAAGTACTTACCTGTCTCCAGCTCATGGCAGCCACAACAAACATGGTTTCTCATGCACGACTGCACTGGCTGGCTTCCATACTTGGATGGGGAGAGCATTTGGATGGTCACCGGGCTGATGGTCCACCAAAGAAACCTTGTTCCACATCAGTCTCTTAAAACGGAGAGCAGTCACTTCTCCACACGCATTCAAAATACAGTCAGGATACTTGCAGTACTCCGTAACCACGCTAGGTGTGTGGGTTACATAAGCACTTCTCCACACGCATTCAAAATATGGTCAGGATACTTACCGACAATATGATGACAACACATTACATAAATCACGAGGGAGGTGTCCAATCCCATTCCCTGTGCATCAAGGCAATTCACAAGGTGACACTGGTAGCATCATACTTACCCAGCATCAACAATGTCTCAGCCGATACATAAGAACGGCCGTACTAGGTAAGACCAAAGGTCCTTCTAGCCCAGTATCCTGTCTGCCAACAGTGGCCAGCACCGGTGCCCCAGAGAGGGTGGACCGAAGACAACGATCAAGCAATTAGTCTCCTGCCATCTCTCTCCAGCCTCTGACAAACAGAGGTCAGGGACACCATTTCTATCCCCTGGCTAATAGTCTTTTATGGACCTAACCTCCATGAAATTATCTAGCTTCTCTTTAAACTCTGTTATAGTCCTAGCCTTCACAGCCTCCTCTGGCAAGGAGTTCCACAGGTTGACTACACGCTGTGTGAAGAAGAACTTTCTTTTATTAGTTTTAAACCTGCTACCCATTAATTTCATTTGGTGTCCTCTAGTTCTGCTATTTAGGGAACTTATAAATAACTTTTCTTTATTCACCCTCTCCACACCACTCATGATTTTATAGACCTCTATCATATCCCCCCTCAGTCTCCTCTTTTCTAAACTGAAAAGTCCCAGTCGCTTTAACCTCTCCTCATATGGGACCCGTTCCAAACCCCTAATCATTTTAGTTGCCCTTTTCTGAACCCTTTTCAAGGCCAAAATATCTTTTTTGAGGTGAGGAGACCACATCCGTACACAGTGTTCAATATGTGGGTGAACCATAGTTTTAAACAGGGGCAGTAAGATATTCTGTATCATATTTTCTATCCCTTTCTTAATAATTCCTAACATCCTATTTGCCTTTTTGACCGCCGCTGCACACTGTGTGGACGTTTTCAGAGAACTATCCATGATAACTCCAAGATCTCTTTCCTGATTTGTTGTAGCCAAATTAGCCCCCATCATACTATATATATAGTTGGGGTTATTTTTTCCAACGTGCATTACTTTACACTTATGCACATTAAACTTCATTTGCCATTTTGTTACCCAATCACTTAGTTTTGTGAGATCTTTTTGAACGTCTTCACAGTCTGCTTCTGTCTTGACTATCTTGAACAGTTTAGGATAATCCGCAAACTTTACTACCTCACTGCTTGCCCCTTTCTCTAGGTCATTTATCAATAAATTGAACAGGATTGGTCCTAGGACTGACCCTTGGGGGACACCACTAGTTACCCCTCTCCATTCTGAAAATTTACCATTTATTCCTACCCTTTGTTTCCTGTCTTTTAACCAGTTCTCAATCCAAGAAAGGACCTTCCCTCTTATCCCATGGCCATGTAATTTACACAAGAGCCTTTGGTGAGGGACCTTGTCAAAGGCTTTCTGACTATACTATATCTGCTGGATCCCCCTGGTCTGCATGTTTGTTAACCCCTTCAAAGAACTCTAACAGATTAGTAAAACAGGATTTCCCTTTACAGAAACGTTGCAAATGAAGCCCGGGATTTAAATTTCCCGAGCTTCATTTGCATCTTGCCGGGCGCCGCCATTTTTAAATCCCCGGTACTTCGGACTCCGTGCCCGCGGCTACACAGAGTAGGTAGTTCGAATAAGGCTTCCTAACCTCAGATCGGGTTAAGGAGGTCTTGATGCACAGCAGGAAACATACTACATGCTCCACCGCCCTCCGAAAGTGGTGCAGATTTGCGTCATGGTGTACAGACAAACGGCTGGACCTGCATTCAATACCACCACACTAAATTTTGGATTATATCTGCTCCTTAAAACAATCAGGCCTTAGCCTTAGCTTCTCTCCAAGTTCACCTGGCAGCAGTTGCCACCTTTCACCACACTGGGACGACCTGTCACCAACAGTGGAGCACTCACGGGGATTCACATCTTGAAGAACTGTTATTACTGCACAAGGTACTTTTTTCACTTCTCATCTCCTGTTTTCATTCTCCTGATCTTTTGATTTTATCACCTTGCTCACCTCCTACCAGGCTCCAGTTTGATTCACCTGTTGTTCCACTGGAGTCTTGCTTGAGAAATGTCTTGGTATTTATTTCTGCACCTTTGGCTGTTTGCTCTTCAAATTCCATTGGGCCCTCCAACAATCCACTTCATACGTTATCTGACACAGGTTAGACTTCTGTTTACTGAATGATCCCTGATTGGTTCTAATTACCTCTGGCACCTGCCAGTTAGCTAGACCAGGGAGTTCATCCCCTTCTACTTCTGGTTTTGCTTAAGCACAGGTATGAACTGTGCTTTCTGTAACTGAGTAGATTACACCGTCAACCTAGATTCTGAGTCAGAAGATTTTAATTTGTTTACTCTTTAATGTGGGAACATATTGAATACCTCCTTTTTAACATGTGGGTCTCATTTTCCTTTCCTTTGCTTTTAGATAAACTGCAGGGTGAGCTCAGTAAGTTGTTTTTATTATTATTATTACTAATGTAAAACTTGCTACAAAATTGTCTCCTATTCAGCGTTTCTGTGTTCAGGAGAGGTCTCATGTCTCTGTGTTTGTTTTCAGAGTGGAGAAGAGCCCTACTAAATGCAGGTAAATACATTCACATTTTTCCCCGTGTCCTTTGCTTTTAGATAAACTGCAGGGTGAGCTCAGTAAGTTGTTTTTATTATTATTATTACTAATGTAAAACTTGCTACAAAATTGTCTCCTATTCAGCGTTTCTGTGTTCAGGAGAGGTCTCATGTCTCTGTGTTTGTTTTCAGAGTGGAGAAGAGCCCTACTAAATGCAGGTAAATACATTCACATTTTTCCCCGTGTGGATAACGGTGTCCCACCTCAGCGGCAAAAGAGGGGGCCCACACCCCAAGTGTCACCCCTCAACGGGACGTGGCCCAGCCGTCTCTGCCACCCGGCCGCTGCTGTCCGCACGCCAGATGGTGGTCAGGTTCACAAGCCAGTGGAGGTGAGGGAGGGGGACCTGGACCCGCCCTCTCTCCGGATCCCAGCCCGGGGCCCTAAGTGCAGGGGCTCGGGATCGCCCCCGCCAGGCAGACCGGGGAGA